ATAAATATATTAAAATCTTATGAAAGCAAAATATATAAAAAATATACTAACTTGCCAAATAAATAAAAAGCAGCGCTGATCTCCTAACCACAGCCGCTCCATTGTTTACAATGACACAAGGCCAGAGAGAGCAGGGCTGATCTGCTTTGCAGGAGGGAGGAACAAGCCTGATGAGGAGCGGCTGAGGGAACTGGGCTTGTTTCGCCTGGAGAAGAGAAGGCCGAGGGGAGACCTCATCACCACCTCCAACTGCCTCAAGGGAGGTTGTGGAGAGGTGGGTGCTGGGCTCTTCTCCCAGGTGATGGGGGATAGAACAAGGGGAAACGGCACCAAGCTGTGCCAAGGGAGGTTCAGGTTAGAGCTAAGGAGGAAGTTCTTTACTGAGAGGGTCGTCAGAAGCTGGCACAGGCTGCCCAGGGAGGTGGTGGAGTCACCATCCCTGGATGTGTTTAAAGAGCGGGTAGACGAGGTACTTAGGGATATGGTTTAGGGGGTAGACAGGAGCGGTTGGACGTGATGATCTCAGAGGGCTTTTCCAACCGAGCCATTCTGTGATTCTGTGAACTTGGCAGCTGGACTTACCCCGAGGAGGTTTTTGGGCACGTAGCCCTCTTTGTCATTGAGGCGGGCCCACCACCACTCTGTCTCGTTGTCATCCTTGCGCCTCAGGATGGTGATGGCGTCGCCCTCGTGGAAGGAGAGCTCGTCGTTGTTCTGGGCCTCGTAATCCCACAGCGCGTACACCACTCCCTTGTTCATCACCCCCAGCTTCTCCTGCACGCCTGCCAGCAACACAGGGCACAACAGCAGTGATGGCACAGCGTCCTCTGAGCCCCGTGAGGCACCAGTGTGGGCACTGCAGCCCCTTCTTAATCTCTTGTTAATAAAATGTCATTAACACTTTGCAGCACTTCCATGATGAAATGCTTTCAGAAATTTAACTGCATGCCAACACCAAATTCTACAGAGCATTTTAAACCAATTTTGAGCATGAGATTTTTTTTTTCTACTAAATATACAACAGCAACTTTACAATCTTTTACTCAAATGAGGATAAAAAAGTAGTTTACGTTTGAGCAAAGCGGCTTTACAGAACTGCCGTGTGTTTCCCCCAGGCTTTATACACTGACACTTGAAGTGTCTGCAACTCTGCATAGCACTGGGTATATAAAGCCTTAAGAATATCCTCTGCTGGAAGGTAAAATTGTGTCTGCTCCAGCAAGGTGCTTTTCTTGCAGAATCTGTATTAGTAATAACTACGTGCTCTGAGTCAGTCGTGTGGTGTATGTGTTTCTTCATGGGAGCTGCTAGGAGCCCGTGCATCTGGAAGTTTGTCTTGTGCTCTGTCAAGACACCCAACAACTCCCCGTTACCCTCAAAGCCTCCCTGTGGCAGCATTGCCTTGAAACTAAGCCACATTTAACTTTAAACATCTGTGGTGTCAGAAGGAGCCTGTGCAGCCTCTCCAAGCAGAGCAATGAGCAACGCAGTCACGGGACTGTTTTGGTTTTAGCACTTGGAAAGCGCAGGTGTGGGCTGCACCGGCCGGGCTGGGGCCCAAGCAGATGTTTTGTGCAGATCAGAGACACAAAAAGGGATCAGTTTAAGAAAAGCTAAGTAAGTCTGTAAAATAGTGGCCCAGCTTACCGTACAAGAACTGGGAACACTGAATGTAACCCTCCTCCATCTCCTCACACTTGTCTGCAGCCGTTTCGATATCGCTGATGGTAGAAGCAAAAATAGCTGCCCCAGATTCAACCAGCAGTTTGCAGAGATGAACGCTATTGCAAGAGGCAGCACAATGCAAGGGCGTCCTGAAATAAAGCACAGATGAAAAAATAAACCTCCATCAATCCCAGCTATTTTGTCTTGCAAGACAGAGTTTTGGCTGGCTGTTCTGAAAGGAAACTTCCTCGTGATTATCGTTTATGTATGCAGCAGTCAAAACCTGTCACGCAAGCGGAGTAGATCCCAGGATTTACCTGACCCCGGTAAAGCCAAACACTGTCAAAAAGACGTCAGCAGAACGCTGATTTTCATAGCTCACAGAGCTGCTGGGTGGAAAAGGCCATTTTCCGATATGAGGAAATGCGAAAGGTAAAACAGAGGTGAGGGCAAAACAGATCAGCACAGCAAAGCTTCAGCAGTGGCTGCACCGCCTCTGGACTCTGCAAGAACACCAGAACCTGCCGTGGGTTGTGCAGAGATGAAACTTCAACACGTTAACTGCTGGTTTTGTTATTTACAGTTTAATTATTTCAGAATCTGATTAAGAAATGCAACCATGCTACTAAGTAACACCAGAACATCGTATGCCTTACGACTGAAGTGTGCTGGATGAGTTGAACACAGTGTAACCTTGGATTTGAGTTCATCCTCACCCGCGGTGAGGCCTCCTACAGGGGAAGGAAAGTGTTCCCAGAACAGGTCCTGACCACATTCTGAGTACGATACCACAATGGCCTTACTCCCAGCGGCCAAGTGAAAGCTCTTGACACTCACCACCCATCGCTGTCTGCCGCGTTCACATTGACACCGAAATCAAGGAGGAACTTGACGATGTGGTGGTGGCCGGCACAGACTGCGTTGTGGAGAGGGGTGATTCCTTCATCATTGGGCTTACTGGGGTCATCCACCTGTTGAAAACGGGAAATCCATCAGCACCCCCTTTCTTTTCCCAAAATGTGAAGGGGTTGCCGCTGTTTGGACGCTCACCTCGTATATGATCCGCTGCACCAGATCAAACTCTCCCTCCAGAGACGCGTCCAGGAGGAGGGCCAAGGGATTGAACTTCACTCTCAACCCGTGCCCCGTCCGTTCCGAGTTGGGTTTCTTCAGGTTGGTGCGTTTTGTCTGAGAGACGAAGGGTGAAGGCATCGGTTCAGGTTGTGCAGGTATTTCAAACAATTCAGTTACCTTTAAACCAGATTAAGAATCCCACCCTCCTTAAATGGTAACTGGAGCTATGCGTGAGTCTCAGCATAAAAGGTTTGATACCTTACTATGTGTTACTCAGTCATAAAATGGAGCAGCGTGCCAGTGTAATCTAGGAGCTTCTAATTAAAGGTAGTGAGTGCAAGGAATGCAGTGCTGGAGTGAACGCTTTTTGAGCGCCGCAGTCATAACCGCATCTAACGTGAGCTGAACGTGTTTCTGTCAGCACTGCTCGGAGTGGAAAGCCCAAATGTCCATCTACTGAGAAGTTACAGCTTTGCAGTGGGGAACGTGAAGGTATTTCACGTGACATCCCAGCTGGTGGTACCTGCAGAAGCGTTTCTCAAGATCTGAAACACACTGAAATGTGTTTTGAGAATGCTCTGAATCATTCGCATGTGTCCTTGTCACTTGCCAGCAAAAAAACCCCTATTAATTACAGCTTTTATAGAATGCTTCCAGTCTCCAGCACTGTAGGATCTGTTTTCATTTATGCTCCTATTTGGTGTGGCTGTTTCAGTGTGGAAAAATAACCCCTCAGTGTGCGCAGCGGCTGCTGCTGGCGTTTGCTGCTGTCCCGGAGCGCCCTGGCCCTGCGGTGCTCCTGGGACTCGCACACAGCCCCGTGCACGCTGCAGTCGCCTGCAGGGGACGCAGGGTCCCTGCCTCAGTCAACACGTGGAGATGTGCTTACACACCAACGGTGCAGTGAGTCAACAACCAGAACAAGATGCAGTTTTCTCCCTATTTTCAATTCTCCATATGCTGGAGGTTTTGGTGCAGCTGGAGGAGGGACTTTGACAGCAATTCAGATTATGAGACAAGGCTGTCTGTTAGAAAAACATTTCTGGTAGAAGTCAGCTACGCTGCTGCTGGTGTTGGCCCTGCTCATCTGCTGGGAGGGAAGGGAGGGCGCCTCTCCCAAAGCTGTTATTTCAGCTGGTCTGCAAGTTAAGGAGCCTCCCACTGCTGCAGCACAGCCCTGGTTCATACAAACAGTTCTCTCTGTAGGCCCGGGGAAACGTAAAAAGGATTTTGAATGGGACCTCATATCCCAGCAGTAGTTCTAAAACAAGTGTGTTTTAGGACAAAAAGTCCTACAACCTCAAGGACACACTCAACCTCCTGTTGCCCATACATGTATTTTCCTTATTAAATGGCTCCAGTATTAAAGAAACAAATCCATCCGAGTTCTCCTTGGAGACCCCCGCTTTGCTTTTCTGTTACTATCATGAAACTTAAAACCATCTAGTGTAAGTTTACCACCTTGCAGTTACACTTAAAGCTAATTCTCTAGCTCAACAAACTGTCTTTTTGCTGTGTTACTCACAGGAGGGTGAGGAGGAGGAAGAGCAGGGGGCAGAGGAGCTTCATCCTCCACCGGGGAGCTGACGTCGGGCGTGGGGCTGGGCGAGTGCTCGGTGGAAGGGACTATGGCGGGGTTGTTGTTGTTATCTTCAGTGGTCTCTGACGTCTGGTTTGTGGTTTCAGTGCTTATCAGTTCCTCGGTAGCGGGTGAGGGCAATTCGTTATCGTTGGCGTCTGACGAGGGAGGGGGCTCGTCAGGGAGAGGAACCGTGGGCTGCACGGAAATGGGCTCTTCGATGTTGCCGTTGGTGCTAGCGTTGCCGTTATCCACGTCTGCCAAGATGCCTATGAAGTCCTGGGGGTTGCTTGGCTGGTAAAAAGGAGCACTTTCTATCCCCCCAGCGAGGGTATTGAAGCGCTGGTACAACAACTTCTGTATATTTGGTCCGCTCGGGCCTTCCGGCTCGGTGATTGAACTGCGCTTCTTCAGCGGCCTGGGAGCGTTGGCCAGTTTTCTCCTCAGAGCTTCCAGGTCGGCGTCGCTTTGATACCGCAGGGGCGAATGCACGATGGGCGTGAGCTTGGTGGGGCTGAGGGGACGGGGGATGTTCTCCACGTTGCTGTTCTCGCTGGGCGCGGGAGCGTTTTCCAGCTCCTGCTCTTTCTCAGAGGCCTCGGGCTGCGGCTGAGGCTGCGGCTGCGGGGAGGTCTGGGCAGGCAAGGAGCCGTGGAGGAACGGCAGCGGGGAGGGAGACGTCGAGCCAGATTGCAACACCGGCTTTCCATAAACTGGGGAAGAGAGATGGAGGACAGGGAAGAAATGGGCTCAGATCACATAAAAAACGTCTGCAAACAAACTGTGTACATTTCTGTTGCTGCTTGTTTGACACCGATACAGAAAGAAAACAAAAATTATATTGGAACCTATCAAAGCAGAAATAAATACCTGCTGGTGATGCTCCTTACAATAAGCTACAAGTGACACCTGGAAGGGTTTTCCTCTTTCATGAGGAAAGAGAAGAGGAAAAGAAAGAGAAAAGAGAAAAGAAAGAGAAGAGGAGCAAAGCTCTCCTCCCTGTTTCTGAAAGTACTGGCAGGTATCTGACTGCATTGTTCTACTTGCATTTTGTGTTAAACAAATGGTAATTGTCCATTTATTTAGCACACCCAAAATAAATGGGATCATTTTTCTGCTGTGCTGCATACATAAAAGTATCTTTTCTCACAGATTTAGACAAGTTTTTCAAACTGATACAGAGAGTAAACCAAGCCCAATAAGTAGATCTTAACAGTCTATTTCAAAGGGACAAAATAAAGCAAAATATACTCTACCTGCTTTTACGGACTTATTTAAGGTATTGTACACGGCTTGTTGGTAGTTCTTTGGCGGCGTGGCTTGCTGAAGGTACATGGAGTAGATGGAGCTGGAGTTCACCGTCTGCGGCCCTTTCCGGGGAGACTGAGGCCTGGATCCCTTATCAGCCAGGAAGGGTCTGATGGCCACGGTGAGGGGCAGCTCGGGTCTGCCATCACCCCCAGGAAACAGCGGGGGCCCGGTGGGCTGGTACGTGGGGCTGGGGGGAACGGAGATCCGCTGCTGGATCTGCTGCGAGGAGCTGGGCTGGTGGGCGCTGCTGGGCGGGGGCAGCGGCACGGGCCTTGGCCGGTTTGGGACGCTGGTGCCGGGCCGGGGCAGGCTCCCGTCCTTCCTCCTCTCCAGGGAGTTTGTGGAGCCCGTTCCCAAGGGAACTGGGCTGGGATAGGTCCCATAGTTCTGAGGCAACTGCTTGCTTACACCCGGGATTGTTGGTGGCACCTTCCCCAGGTCAAGACCCTGTAAAAGAACAATAAAAACATACATACCGTTTAATGAAATAAAATACTTGTGAGCAGGGATATTCCTCATTCAACAAAACACACCGGTAATCTTGTGTGACAGCAAAGGAGTCAACACAACCAACCCGTGCTCCTTCATCACTAGGTGTGATCATACCTCAGCTCACCACAGTTCACTCCTCGTACGACAGAGGCATCTTCAGCCACAACACATCAACACGAATCCCAAGCTATTTGCATGCTTCCAAAGCCTGAATAACTTGTTCTAGGTTCAGGATCTCAGTATCGAGTTGATAATGTGTTTGATAACGTAAGAGTGTGATAACAGAGCTTATCAAAACTATTTAAAGAAGAGGTCCTTACTGTTTAAACATCACACAAACATAAAGCACTACAACAGCAGTGCAGAGACACCACCAGGGGACTCGCTCCAGGATGAACTGAACGACTTCTTTTGTGAGATTTTTGTGAGAAAAAGAGTGCACTGAAAAAGTGATGATCTACACCAGGGAAATGAGTAACAGAGATCTGAATATGAAACATGGGAAGGTGGGGGAAAAGATCAGGAGAAGCAGAGGCAGACAGAAGGGGAGACCAGATAGGTAAAAGGACAGGAAGGAACAGAAACTACTGAAGTCGGGAAAAACAAATTGTAATGTGACAAGAAGAGAGGAGCAGCAGGGATACAAAGGTAATTTGCTTTGTGCTCTTTTAAATAATCATCAGCAGGGAAGCTGACTGTGTGTGTGACTCAGCTATGGAGCCCAAGGGCCATAATCTCAGCAAAGCAGATCGATAAATGTATGGCAGACCAAACCCACCAGCTTGTCAGTGCTTCCCAGCGCGGAGCTCGGCAGGGGCTGGCTGGAGATGGTGCCTTGCTTTAAAGCGGTGTCCATGCTCGATTCTTTCCAGTCTGGGTTGGAGATCTGAGGGGGCTTCACCACCGGCGTCGAGCTCTGTTTAAGTATTGGCCAACTTCCATCGTTAGCTTGAAAACAGACACAAACACTATTTAGGATAATCCACAGCACCACTGTACACAAGCAAAGCACCAAGTGAAATGGATTGCAACAATGAGAAATCACTACTGATGTTTGACTCAGGAATCAATACTGAAAGCCATCACTGCACACAATTTGCTGTTCATTACCCTTGGACACTCAAGTCCTATTGAAATTTTCTATAGAAAAAACAGATGGTTAAAATTCCAGTTTGAGCGTTGCATATTCTACCATTAAAAGGCAAACAAGTTCAGAACAAAAATCCTTATAGGAACACTTCATCAACTTACTTCTCTTGGTACTCTCCAGAGGCACCATTAAATTATGCTAAATGCTAAGTCTACATAAGCTCTGAGTGGACTTACTCCAAATTTAAGCCTCAGTTACTGGATTCATTCACTCACAACAGGAGTAAAAACTCATTTCAATGGGCTGGGACAGAAGCCACATCCCTGTGCTGGAAGTGGCCGCTAACTCACCTTTGGTTTGCCTCAGCACTCACCTGACTAGAATTAAATTTCTGAGGCAGTTTCTAAAGAAATTTATCACGTCAGCCGCCAACTTCAACTCCCAGTGTCAAGACACAACTCATGGGCTTTTATGTTCATGGTGTGCAGATCATGCACAGCTCCACACAGACTGTAGCAACAAACCCTTCCTGCAGTCCTAGATGCACCCGTACGTTACTTTATTGACTGTGTGCGACCACTGAGTTTCTGATCCCTGAGTAAGCAGAGAGCTCAAGCAGCCTGACCATGAGATCCGTTCTGTAGTAACTGGATGGATCCCGTGGTAGATCCTAAGGCTCCGATTTGCCTTTAAAAGATTCAGACTTCAAGTTTTTCTAAGGCGATCAGAGATCATTGCCTCCAATTACCTTAGTGAAGCACTTAGTAGAATAATAATAAAAGAAGATATGTAATAAATAGCTAACTTTACTAGAGGATAACAACTAAAACAGGGGGGTGGAGTGGGGTGTGTACAGATTTACTGAGATTTCTGGACCCCACAGTAAGAGCACCACATGAGAATCGGGTATTTATAGGCAGTATTTCCCACTCGGTTTCATTTTTAAGCCCCCAGAAGCAGAAGCTGTTTCCAGCATTCTTGGCCATGCTCTGCCCAGCACAGCGGCCAGGCTAAAAATGAGCCACACAGAAATACTCTGATTCCAGTGAATGTAACATCACCACTCTGCTGTCTGTCCATGAGCCTCATCCTCTTTACCAAGTCCCTTTCCTTCCCCAGGGAAATGACAGCCTGAAGATTCCTTGACAATTGCCAATATTTTTACTGTATGAGTGCAAATTCACTGTATTAACTTATATTTATAGGCTTGTTAAAATCACATCACTTTGAGCAAAACTGCCCAGCACAGCGGCCAGGCTAAAAATGAGCCACACAGAAATACTCTGATTCCAGTGAATGTAACATCACCACTCTGCTGTCTGTCCATGAGCCTCATCCTCTTTACTGAGTGTCCCTTTCCTTCCCCAGGGAAATGACAGCCTGAAGATTCCTTGACGATTGCCAATATTTTCACTGTATGAGTGCAAATTCACTGTATTAACTTACAAACATATTTATAGGCTTGTTAAAATCACATCACTGAGCAAAAAATAAGAAGTTACACCTCTGCATTTAAGCCACCATACTAATTATTTTTTAATTATAAGCGCAGAGCATTCCTTAACATTACCCACTGTATTGTATTAAACTTTCAAATTCAGATCAAGCGTGTGTGAATTCCAGTAGATAACTTTGGAGCAGGAGTATTTTAGTGGTTGGTCATTTCAGCAGGGTTAACACTGAGAATCTGGTGGTCCAGAATCACTTTTCACACTTGCAGACTGCCAGGACTGAAGTGCTGAGGCCACAGTTTAGTACTGGACACAGCCCATAACTGGGCATGTCGGGTTTTTTGCTTGTTATTGCTTTTAATCATGCGGTTATCAAGAGTAAGCCCAAAAAGATGTCAGTCTAAACACTGTGACCCTAAATAATGGCAAATGTCAGTATGCACTGAATTAACAGTTACTGCACACAATACACAGGATGTAAGGTTATGGTTCAGTAAACTTTTGAAGATCACAGGAAACATGAAAGCATCTTTAGCTGTAAGATTAAGAAAAGCACTATTAAAAAAGCACTTACAGTAACAACAGCACAAATCCCCTAAAATTTAGTTATCTTACCTGCAAATACAAGCCCACACTCTTCTATCAGAGAGACAGTCAGACAAAACCTTTTAGTAATCCTGTGAGTTCTAAATGAGCGTGTTCATCCCCAAATTCTGAGCTAACAGACTGGAAGTAAATCCCAACTCTCTCTCTTCATTCCTAACTTCTCTCTTTCATTCTGCTTACACGAACACCAGAACGTAGCCGTTCCCACCTCCCCGTCCTTCATCCTACAGCCCTGCCCTCACCTAAGCTGAGCCTCAGGCACTTCCCTGCAGCGTACGGGGCCGAAGGCTGCGTGACGGGCGCTGAGAGGAGGCAGCCAAGCAGCGTCTGCCTTCTGCTGTCCTTAGAGGGACTCAGCAGGTCCCAGACCTCTTCCCATCTGATGGCAGTGCCCTTTGGACAAGCCCTCACTGGTTCCTCTCTCGGCTTCAGCTCCTCCTCCAAATGTGCCTCGTCTGCCCCTGTCACACTCCCCGACAGCCGGTGCAGTTCAGCTCCCACCAGCCCATGCTGCAGTTACAGAAATAAGACAGTGACATACGGACACAGTTTTATACCTAAAAACTTCTGTAGATCTGGATCTGGGGAACTCACTACAGCAACCCAAATATAACTTTTGTGTCCTATGGAGGTCAGCAAGATTCCTGCTATCGACTTGGACAGAGCGAGCTTCATCCCAGCTCTGGGGCCAGTGCAACGTGGAAACTCAGCATTTCCCAGAGTAGCTCAAACTAAACCTGTGTGTTTATCTGTCTAATCTGAGAGATGTGCTTTGGTGATCACCGTGAATTTTCTAATCACTATTAGAAAATACACTTCCTAATTCTAGTTCTTTTCTAATAACTGTTAGAAAACGTCAAGGTTTTTCAGTGAAGAAAACTCATCCCTAGAACACCACGCCAGTGCTCCAGGGGTGAACTTGCTGCAAATCTCTTTCCTTCAGAGATGAAAAGCAACTTCTCAACAATTTTACATTTCAACAGCATCTTCTGCAGGCCAGACCACCACCCAAGCGCTAAAGATGCTGTTTAATATGATCTGTGTGCAAGAGCTCAGATGACCATATTAAAAGCTGAGTTCTCAGCGAGGCAGAGAGCTGCTCGGGACTCACAGTGCTGGGTGTCAAAGAGAGGAGGTGCCAGGCGGATGACACTGGGAACAGCAGCCTGAAGAGAAGTGGGAGGTGACAGAATAGGATCCGCTATTGTGTCTAAATCTGAGACCTTCCAGGTGTCTGGAGACTTTTTCACACACCCACAGTCTGTCTCTACCGGACACACCGAGTCACACAGAAAAAGAAAGAAAAAAAAGGGGTGGAGAAATTATGACAATGACAATGGAGAAACCAGAACAGGAACACTCAGAGCATGAGAACTAAAAGCATGACAGTTGACAAAAATGTCCATTTATTTTCTTCCTGGGAGCATATAAACTTACATAAATCTGTATTATAGCACTTTCTTGAAGTCATTCAGAGCAATAAACACAGAGTCAGGTCTAAGTTAGAATAATTACTTTTATAAAATAAAAACGTTATCATTCAGAGATCTTGTAACCTGCTGAGGTAGGTCTAGAAGTGGGCTTGTCTATCTTCTGAGGCTGGTATTTACAAACCAGGGAATTATTTTAGATTGGTGAACTTAAAAGTTCTGAACCATCCTTTCCCTTTGCTCCAGTGGTCACTGCCTGTGTTTTTGATATCCCTCCTGGGAGACCCAGTAAACCAAGCCCTGAGGTCAGACTCCTTGGATTGTGCATTTTTATTTGTATCATGCACTTTTTCCTAGCTAAACATTTCTTATGAATTCTGATTTTGCCAAGATGGGAGCAGAGAGGTGAGCTTTGCCAGAATGGGAATTTAGGGGACAAATGTCATGGCCTGCTTCCTTCAGTCTCCACTGTAAATTAAGTAACAACTCTATTTTATAAAGTAGATGGAGTTATTAATTATGGGAGCCAATTCTGGACATCAAGCTCCGGGAGCACTCTGGAGGGGCAGCTCCTTCACTAATGAAGGGAGAAACAAGTGAACAGCATCAATGCTGAGGTTACTGCATTTCAGAAATGCTTCAAGCACCACAAATTCTCTCTCTCAGTCAGAGCAAAAAACCTCCCATGGTTTTATTCTATTTTCCATTCAGTCTCCTTCTGAGCAGTAATATTACTTTCACTTGTTCTCTTTGTTTTACTTGACAAAAAGCACCATGCTGCAAACGGCTGTTTATAATGCAGCTTGCCACCAAGTTGATTTCATGATTGTATTCAAACGAATTGGAAAGCCATTGAAGACAGAATCTGTGAAGGAACCTGTGCTCCTTTTAGCGCTGCAGCAGCTTGTCCAAGTTCAAAAAAACCACTCAGTCTCCTAAGAAAAATTCATGGAAAGAGGCAAGAACACCTCATATCAAATGAGTAACGTCCAGTTCCCAGAACAGCATCAAGACATCCAGAACTTGCCTCTCCCACTACAGAGAGCGCACCAGCACTGGGTCTCCTAAGATCATTCCTTTTCTTGACTCCTCCTTTCCAAACCGTGTGAATTAATAACACCAGATGTAAGCGCTTACCGGATTTTGATCGGCCGTGCGTTGAGCTAGAAGCAATGGTGAGGGACTGTGGTTTCACTGGGTCCACTGGCACAGCGTAAGTGCCCGCACTGGGAACCTGGATGTAAGGTCCGACCGCTGCCACCCTTCCCGAGGCGCTCAGGGACGACTGCGGCGAGGACGTCCCGTTAATGCGGTTCAACTGCAAAGTCAGACAAACGGAAACGTGAAATTCCATTTAACAGAGGCATTTCTGCACAAACAGGAGCTCTACATTTCATGATCTACAACCATGCACTGTAGCTAAAACACTTTAATTGAAGTTACCATATTCCATGCTTCTACAGAAGGAAAAAAAGTAGAAAGTACAAATTTTATTCCCTAAAATTAACATTGCAAAATTTAAAATTTCCCAGCCACAGCACGTAACTTTCTTGTAGAAACCTTTCTCTGTGTAAGGTCATTGTGCCTTTCTCAGGCAAATGGGGTAAAACAAGTTCTGAAATGATCAAATATTTCTGTGGTATTTGGCAACATTGATGGTATCAATCCTTCCATCTAGGAACACATACGGGAATCCCAAATTGATCCCTCTGTCCTTAACACAAACCGTCTATCATGCACCTGATTTATTGTCAAAGTTCCACACAACTATCAAGACTAGCATTTATTTTTCTACCAATTTTCCATACTGGAAGGTAAATATTTTAGAAAACCCACACTCTTTATGCTCTCATGCTTTGAAACACAGCCCACAATCACACTTCCCTTCCTAGAAACATAAACTATGATAATTTTTAATATAATATGGTCTGTGCCATAAAGAAAACTAAAGGAAACACATTCTGTTTAACAGTTTTCCGCTATCTATGGAAAACCTTAAATTAGTTTTCAGAAGCCTGCTACTTTTCAAATAGGTTTTTAGATGTAGCTGCATTACTCAGCTGGGAAAAAGTGAGACTAGGTGGTTTTTACAGGCTCTTGATAAACTAAAGCGGGGCCCTTTTAACAGTTTATCTTACAGGAATGTTTTCTTTTTGACGTGCCTCAACTTTTTTCTTGTACAGCCGCTCGCGCAGCTCGTTGATGCGCTTGTCCATCATAGCCACCTCCATGTTGCGCTTGTTTAACAGCTCCTTCTGCTGCTGCAGCTTGGAGTTCTGCTCCTGGTTCAGCCTGTTACGAATCTGCAAAAACCAAAAAGAGCCAAACCAGGCACTTGTTATAGGACAGTCACTTCATTTCGCGTGTTGTCGAGCTGGTTTTTAATACCGTGTTAAATAACTCAGAGCGACTTGGATTGGCTAGGTTCTGATGTCTCTAGTTATATCAGAATATATTATTTACATTCTGATGTCTCTAATGTTGTATTAGAATAATTCTAATGTGCTGCTTCCACACAGGCTGTCAAATCAGCATCTGCAACCATGAATAACTTAAAAAACTCCCAGTGAAACAACGGCCTAATAAACCAGTGGGTATCTCTTAACTACACATAGACTGCAGCCCACTTACAGCAAACGGGTTGAAGGACTGGGCATAAAAGACATTTCAAAACTGAACTCCACCATGAAAAATTAAGTCATAGAAATTTTTTGTTAAAAATTATGTTTAAGCACCAAGACAGTTTGAGCACCACGAGAACCAAGGGATATAAAACCTGTAACAGAAAGGACTGATTCTGCTCCCAGTTCCAAGCTGCTGATGTCAGGAAGGGAGCTGGGAACTGAACTGCAGGCACAGGGACTGGGCAGGGATTTTCTTCTCTCCACGGGGATTAAAGCAAAACCTCCCCAGCAGATGAGGGGAGGGATTACCTTCACGGGTCAAACCAACCATGCAGTCCTGAGAATTACTTCTCCTACTTTCCCACTGGCGTTTTTTGTACCTTCAATAACTCCGACAGCACCACCTCAGTGTTCCAATTTAATGTTACGCGCGAAAGAAACCTGAGGCACATTTGAGTCTTAATAAACGTGTCTGGAATCATTGGGAAGCACAAGAGAAACGTGGATTTATTGAGCCTCTTTGTACTTAGAAATACTCACAAGGTAGATATGCCTTGCATGAATGGGGAAAGGGGGAAAAAAGGAAAAAAGGACCCTGCCTCCTAATTCGTGAAAACACGTGATGGGTTCATTTGCATGTTGTATTTACTCACGTAAAGAAATGAGTGAGACTAACTTTGGAATTTAAATTAACTTTGAAATACTAAGTATATATGAGAGCTGTTGCCTGGATCACAATAAAGTAAATTTAAAAAGCCCTCAAATCCTGATACATCAGCACATGATTAATATTCCGTAACTTTTAAACATAAAAACTGCACCAAATTTCCATGTAAATGGAACATTTAATTACTAACAATGTGAGAAGTACACTTTAGATACAAGTCTTTTGGAGGATGATGATGATAGCGATACAGGGAACGTGTGTGACTACACTGCACCCACAGTGCTCCGTATAGTGCAGGGAATACAGTGCAGCTTATGTTTCTGATGATTCTGTTAAAATACGTTCTTTAATTCTTACGTATTTTGTTCATTAACACCAGACACTATAGCTAAATTTTCACAATATATTTTAAATCTACTTTTATTCCCTGGCCAGTCATGTCTCCAAGTTAAGATGAATTTAAGTGAGCTTGCTATACCCAGAAAGTACCAAAATGAATTCATTTTTTTAAAGGATTAAAACAAATACTAGATTATGTCAACATTCAGTATGTCACTGTTAGGGTCTGTGAAATGCCCTTCAGAACAACTGCACACTTTGTATCACTCTGTGTACGAGCAACAACAAAAACAGGTTAGAAAGCTGCTGAAATTGTGTTTTAAAGAGGGCTTTAGGCTAACTCCAACCTCACACATCAGCAGCATTCCAACACACCAGGAGATGTCCCAGAACCAAATGGCCACCTGTAAGAGCTGTAATACAGCTTTGTAATATATACAGGTAGCATCCAAACAGCACCTCCATCGCTCACCTGTAGCTCTTGGTACAACTTTTTCAATTCCACTGCCGCAGGCCCCGTCATTTGCCCGTTGTACGACTGAAACCCATTCAGTTTCCCCTTCCTCAAATCCTCCAGCTGCTGGGTGAGCTGATCCACTTTTAACACCGCCGCCTGTAGCTCCTGCTGCTTCTCCTGGAACATGGCACTTATGTGCTCAATTTCAGTTGCTAAAGTTAACAAGATTAAAATAACAAAAAAGAAAATTAAGTAAAGCAGAAGTAGTTAACTTTTTAATTTTAAAATTGTTGATAAATACACTGGTTTTAAATCTGGTATGGGCATGCACATATAAAATATTTGTGTGTTGGGAATGTGCTATCAGTCCTAGCATTTCCTAATAGTTATAGAACAGACTTACTCTGACTTTATGCCTGACTGTATAAAACAAACAAAAGGCTGTGCCATACACAGATTTCAGAGAAACACAGCACCTTCTGTAAGACAAAACCCACCCTCTCTGAAATCCTGCTAGATTGACTAGAAATACAGCACCAGTTGCTAGTCACGCAGCGGACTGCAAATTAAATTAAATGAATTACTCAAAATACATACACAGATTGCCGTTCATGATCTTGCTGTAGTCCACTTGGCCCCTCATGGCACGGATTTTTTTCAGCTTCGTCTCCTGGGTTTCGACGCGTTCCTTCAGTTTTTGCAGCTTTTCGCTCTCAGACACAGACTGCTGCTGGCGGCGCTCCTGCTGCTTCAGGTAACGCAAGCGCTGCTCCTGACAAAGGGAGGTTTCAGACAAGAGGTACCCCTTACCCATTGGTTTAACAAAATTTACCTTAGAAAATCCCATCACTACGATCAGTGAGGTTTTTTACTTCCAGAAAAAGTTGCAGCTAGTTAAAATATGTATCAAGCCTCCTTGAAAACCCTCGTAACGTTAATTTAACAGAACTGGTTTAGAGCAGAGATTCAAAATATCCATGAAACTTCTGCTTGCGTGTGTAGAAGGAAACGTGTGTTTACTACGACGTGTGTACGGTTATTACCTTAGCCACCAACATCTGCTGTTGGTTTTCGATCTGCTGCTGCTGTCGCGCAGCCATATCTTGCAGTTCAGAAAGGGTGAGCTCCACGCGGGGATTCCCAACCTGCAGAACACAAAACATCACATTTCTGCATATTAAATTTTCTGACAACAGAAGCCAAATCCTCCCCAGGCCTCAGAGGAGAAATAACGATGGGCATCCGGGAAAGAACAAGGAATCTCGGAGTAGAAAGGAAGGACCAGGAGCAGGAAAAGCAAGAAATAAGAGGCTATTACTGAGCAAACTTTGAAGGAAAAGATATTAGCAGGGCTACATCACTCCTCCTGCATTTCAAAACTAACAAATCATTTAGAAAATCAGAGTAGAAAGGCAATTACTGAAAATTATTTAAAATGTATATAATGCTGTGACAACGTGTGAGACCAAATATTCTGTTTTTAAAATGAAAGTATTGTTTCAGTATATGCATAGTTATACAAATAAATATAACTTAAATCTGTACATTAAATCACTTCCATTTAACCACATTTTTTACTACGCAATTACAAGAAAGAGAGTGCTGTGTCACACGGTAAATCCAGAGGCTGACACTCATCAAATACCTGCTTTGCTACTCAAAACTGCAGAATTCAGTTCAACCACAACTTCAGCCTTTGCACAGAAAGAGAACAGCAGCCTCTGAAAAACTACGCAGGAAAACGGCAAAGCACAGAAAAGCCCAACATCTGCCTGCAGGTACTGACTGCACCGGGGAGGAGCGGGATCACTGCACTGCAATAATGCAGGACACAGCGCAGCGCTTTCACCAGGCTACAGGAGCACACGCTCAGTAGATCCAATTCAAATGACATTGCTTCCTACCCCAAATGTAGTCACTACTGCTGACAAAGAAGAGAATTAAATGGTTTGAGAAATAAATGATCTATTGATAAATAAAGCTCTGTTTCACATAAACGTTACCAAGCGGTCTAAAGATGTGGAGCACTTTTAAAGTTGCTGCACCTCACACACGCGATACAGACACGTCGGACTACAGTTTCTAGAGGAAGTTACTGTTCCTCTTTGAACAGTTCCTACTGAATAAACTATGGAGGAAAATCACAATTCTTACTGGATACTACAACCAGAACTCCTCTTCCTAGTCAACAAGAAATTAGAAATATTTATAGGTGAGAAGTAATTAAAAAAACTATGTATTTACTTACAGTTATAGCTATTCAGAATAGTGGAACTACAACAAAAGGTCAAATCCACTGAAAAGACTAATCTTCTGAATCAGCACTTTGTTAGTGAACAAATTCAATTAATTAAAATTTAAAAAAAAAAAAGATTTAACTTAGTAGCGTGTGCTTTTTTTATTAGGACAAGAGTCCTGCACAACATTCTTTAAAGTCAAATAACGTCAACACACTTGTGGCCACCAGCTAATAAATCAAAGAGAGATATTTTATCATCCATTACAGACTGGAAGGCATTAAGAAAGCGAGGAACTGCCAACCACAGCCCAGAAGTGCCCACCTGGGACAAGATAATAACACCGAAAAACACAGAGGCTGCTCCCAGAAGAGGTCCAGGCTCTGCCTTCCCTTGGCTCAGCTCCTGCCAGAGAACCCCAAGCCCCTGCATCACTGATATTAACAGTAAAAAAGGCGTGGGGAGGTGAATTTAGAGTGTTTTCTCAATGCACATTTGCTCTGTTTTAAAAATACACGATTTGGATCAGACTACGCAAAGTCTTCCCAAAGTCTTCCTCGCTCCTGCCTGGATGATCACTTTAAATCTACAATACTGACAGCTCGCTCTACTCCCAGCTGTAATGTTCAGTGTAACACTGTCCAAGAAATAGAGAGAAGTTTTATTCTGCCAAGAAGCCTTTATAAAAATATATCCAAAAGTATCTGCAGAGGCGTCCTGCGTATTTCAAGGTAGAAAAGCTGTTCCACTCGGTGAAAATTACACATTTTCTAAACGCAGAATGTAACCTGGAATACACGACGGCAATGAGAAACTGGTTTGTAGTAGCACCAGAAACAAAAAACCCAGTTTAACCCAAAAGCTTAGAATTTATATTACTTTAAATAAGCAAATCTGAAAGCCTCTATTTCCTGGAAAAAAGTATGGCATTATTTTGTATTATGTAAAATATAGACGATTAATGACAAGATGAATGCAAATGTCAGCTTCTCCTTGAAGAGGCTGTTAACTGCTGTAAAATGTTCCACTCGGAAAGTGTAATGTCCAAACCCCTTTCATACATGGGAAAAAGGGATAATTAACCATTCAAATATCAACGCTCTACGAGAAATCTCCTCATGTCTACCTCACAGCTTTCCACTGAGTGTCCCTTGCACTTCAAGTAACTACACTGCACTTAGGGAAGAGAAAAGGCAGCTGAGGAAATGAAGTTGTAAACCTGTAGCTTCACTCGCAGTTTGTTCTTTCTCTTCCACATGGCAAAGGCAGCAAACAGACCACGCGGAAATCCTCTTTGATGGCAAATGAGTTATTTTCAGATGGACTGCTGCTGATTTTGGTCTCCAAAAGAGGACAGAATCATTGTCGAAACAGCATGAGAAACACTGAATCCTTCTCTTGCCGAGATCCAGTTGAAACAATCTGCTGGGAGCATCTCCTGTTTGTTGAGTCTGCTGCCAGGAATCTCTGTGCGCAAAAACTGCCTGGGTCCCTCCTCAGAAGCCCAGGTTACGCCAGGCCAAGGCAGCGCTGCATCTCCTCAGCTCTTTAATGAGGTTGGTGGTTTCCTGGATTCTTCATTTCATGCTGTCCATCCTGGTTATTACCCGGTTATTTCACCCCAAAATCCCTCACCAACAAACAGGAGCCCATCCCATCCAAGGTCCAAGCCTCCTCCTCCTCCTGCAGCAGGGAGCCAGTGCCACCCCTCCAGCCCTGCCCGCCAGCGCAGGGACCAAGAAGCCACCACAAATCTCCGCTCCTCCAGATTCCAGGGGTTCATGTGCTCCGTGGTGATACATCAAAGCTGACGTTTTGCTGAACTGCACATTTCTCTTCATTGATTCACAGCAGCATTTACACAGAGAGGAGCTCCAAAATAAAATGCCAGCAAGCAAACACTGCATTATTGGGCACTAAGGAAGTGTTACCTATGGCTCATACAGACAAGGGTACTTGACACCCACGTTCCCTCATTTCTTAATATTGACGAGTATCTTTAAAAAACTGCATTTATTTTGTTTAGCACGCACTTTAAAAGGTCACGATGAGAGACGGCATTTGTAATGAACTGGAGTTTCAGCCTCTGACATTTCCTCCTACTACAAGCTAATATTTTACCATTTGATGATTAATATTTTTGAGACGGGTGAGATGAATGGTACAGGAGTAATTAAATAGTCTGAGAACCAGTTTGTAAGCAGCCTCAAAACAAGTCATACCGTAGGCATTTAATTAAGGAAAGGATCCTCCTTTAATATTTCTTTCCACACATCAGTCTTGTCACTCTAATAATTCCTTTTCTTATTCCTCCTTCCCTGCTTTCTGCCCTCACACTGTGCTGTTGTGGCTCTCACCACAAACTCCTCAGCCCATGCGCTTCTGAGCTCTTATGAAATGGTTTACGCTCACCGTGACCCTCAACAGTACATGAAAAATTGCACCTGAACTCAAAGCATCTCTCTGGCAAGCAGAGGGTACTGCAGTCAAGATGTGGAAGCAATAAGGGCAGACTCCAGTGGTTTTTTGCCTTTACTCCCACCAGAAAACTCTTTTAAGAGGAACCTAATTATGTCGATATTAAAAGAAAAAACCCAGGAGACTGACCTTTTGAAACAGATTATTTTTAAAAAGATGGTAGTTAGGATGTGCTTTGATTTTACACATTTCTTTGCCTCCGTGTCTAAGCCATGAAGATATTTCTCCTTGATCATTTTCTAAGCTTGCACTAGCACGAACAGAAAGTTAGTTTGAAAATAAGAATGGAGCATAGACCAACTCCACACCTGAGACTGCTAGGACTTCAGAAATAAGTGCTTTAAAGGAAACCAACAAATACTGAGCACCTTTACAGGCCACTGCAACGAGTGGCCATCTCACGTTTAGGCTCAGCAGCACCAAATGGCTGGTGTAAAGCACAACACAAACAATTAATTGACAAAGAAAAGAATTTGCCAATCATTTCCTGCACGCTATCTCAGATCTTTTTCTTGGTTTGCAAGAGCCACCAGGTCATTAAGCTCCTTTACCCACTCCCACACCTCTCACCAGTTTCCAATGCCCCGCACTGGGAAGCGCAGGTTTGAGCACCTGAGGTTTCCCAAAACCGGCCACCACCTTCTCTGTGCATCCCTGTGCCATGAATCATGGACAGGGACCTCTGCCACATCACCTCCAGTCTCTTCCCATTGCTCACCTCCATCCTTACTCCCTCATTTACCACTTCTCTGTCAGCGCTGTGGTCCACCCTTCTCTTGTCACCATCAGAGACAAGTCTGAGTTAAACCACCACCCGCCGAGGTCCAGCACCGCCCAGATAAAGTGTAGTGAAGGTAATGCCGTGTGTATCCCACCCGCGTCGTTACTCTGAAATTGTAGTGTAGATAAGGACCATTTAGGCCAAATGGCCTTTTTAGCTAATAAAAAAAGCCATCTGAAGCCCTCCATATCATCCCCTCCCAAAAACACTTGTGATGGTAAAGGTAACCATGTTCTCAGCCAGAATAAATGGGAAAACAAACACTCTTTATCAAGGCTGGGACACCACAAGCGTATCAAAGGCCAGAGATAGTGGGGTGGGGAACACACACACCCCACACAAATCAAACCCCAGCCCTCCCCAAAAACCACAGACCAAGAACAGGATCAGCAGTGAATGAGGGACAGAAACTGCAGCAGAGAGCGAATCCCAAGCAGCAGCAACTCTGGGCTCGTGAGTTAAAGGATTTACTCCCGTGTTGGGTTCATTAATGAGGCACACAACTCTGCCAGGGCAAAAAGAAACCCTCATCTTCACCAGGCGCACGGGGAGGCCAGCAGAGGCCACAGAGGTACAGTAAGTCACTCCTGAGATGCCTTAAAATGCCTGCATAGAAATGCAAAGTAAATACTCTGGTTTCACTGAACAC